TTTATTACTTATATTAGCGCTTAATCATTAACATAAGCATGTAATGATCATAAACATATAATATTGTCATAAACATGTAATATTATATAATGTTGTGTGCTATCTGTCACACCCACTGAAGGCTCGTCAGTAGATCACACGTGCGCTTAAGTGAACTAACCCTGGAACATAACCTGCTCCGGAGCAGGTTATCGTCAGAGAGCAAGTTACTATGGTTACTTGCATACCCTGAAAGTAACCTCCGATTTTGGAACCGAAAGCTGAGGTTATCCGCTCGCTTATCCTCAAACATACCCGGGTATGTTTGAGGATAAGCGAGCGGATAACCTCAGCTTTCGGTTCCAAAATCGGAGGTTACTTTCAGGGTATGCAAGTAACCATAGTAACTTGCTCTCTGACGATAACCTGCTCCGGAGCAGGTTATCGTCAGAGAGCAAGTTACTATGGTTACTTGCATACCCTGAAAGTAACCTCCGATTTTGGAACCGAAAGCTGAGGTTATCCTCAAACATACCCGGGTATGTCACATAACCTGCTTTTTGGAATACCCCCCTGGTCTGCTATTGTTGGTGTGTTGTTGATAAGTGTTAACTCCTTGTGGTTCCATCATGTATTTTGGATGCTTATTTCTGTGGATTATCATTAAAGGATCTTGAACTGCATTTGGACCTGTTGCCTACTTGTGTTCATTCGTAACAAAGCTCATTCAACAGTAGGCTATTTGTAGCCATATTGTTTTACAAAATAATAATACTAACAACACAGCAACAAAAACAACAATTATCTTTACAAACAAATCTCTTGGTTAGTGAGGCACATACATTGTAAGTGAATAGGATATAATTTTGGAGGCCATAGGGTCAGCCATCAAACTCTGAAATGGACTAGATCCAAAAAGCAACAGTCTGAACACAAAGAGGTCTGAGACACCATTACAGCTTAAGTGGACCATAAAAGGACCTGAGTCCTCTTTCAGGAACAGGGACAGTGTGAACATAAAGAAAACTGGGTCCTTTTTCTCTTGGTCCACTTAAAGGGGTCTGGGTTCGGTTCTTTTAAAGAGGACCCAAGTGTGAAAACACCCTAAATTAAATTGGTAGAGGAACAGTAAGGCTGTTTTTAAGAAGGCACAATCAAGATTATTCTTCCTGAGGAAGTAGAGTTACATTGGCATCAGTAAGAAGCTTCTTTATGTTTTTTTATCAGGGAATCATGGCCAGTGTTTTGTTTTATGCAGTGCTCTGCTGGGGATGTAGTATCACTGTCAATGATAAAAATAGGATTAATAAATTGATTAGAAAGGCTGGATCGGTTATTGGCCTCAATCCTGATTTAACTTGAGGTAAAAGGAGTAACCATATGTAAAATGCTAGAAAAGAGAGAGTCCATAGTTTCTTTTACATCATCGAGTTGTTCTAAGCTATTGAATATGCTGAGGAATTTAGATAAATCAGGAAGATTACTTACAAAGCAGTCTTTTGTGGTAGAAGTGATGGTTCTACCATACTTGTAACAAGGAGTAGAATTTACAGTTTTATATGGAGTTTACACAAGACTAGATAATGATCAGAGATAGCATCGCTTGACTGCATAATTTCAACACCATCAACATCAATTCCATGTGACAGTATTAAATCTAGAGTATGATTTCGACAATGAGTAGGTGCTGAGACGTGTTGTCTAACCCCAATAGAGTTCAGAATGTCTATGAATGCTGATCCCAATGCATCTTTTTCATTATCAACATGGATATTAATATCACCAACAATTAAGACTTTATCTGCAGCCAGCACTAACTCTGATATAAAATCAGCAAATTATTTGATAAAGTCTGTATGGTGCCCTGGTGGCCTGTATACAGTAGCCAGTACAAACATCACAGAGGATTTATCATTAACACTTGTTTATCTGGATAATGTTATATGAAGAACCATTACTTCAAACGAGTTATACTTGAAGCCCGCCCTCTGAGAAATACTGAAAACATTGTTATAAACTGTAGCAACACCTCCCCCTTTACCTTTTGGACGTGTCTCATGTTTATAACAGTAATCTTGGGGGGTAGACTTGTTTAAAATAATATAATCATCATGTTTTGGCCAGGTTTCTGTCAAACAGAGCACATCTAGGTTATGATTAGTGATCATATCATTTACAAAAAGTGCTTTCGTAGAAAGAGACCTGATATTCAATAAGCCAAGCTTTATCATTTGTTTATCCGTATTACATCTGTTTACATTTACATTTACATTTAGTCATTTAGCAGACGCTTTTATCCTAAGCGACTTACAAGTGAAGACAATAAAAGTAGTCAAAACTAACAAAAAAACAACATTATATAAGTGCAAATGACAAGTCTCGGTTAGCCTAACGCAGTACGCGTAGAAAGGTGTATATATATAAATATATTATACACACACACACATAGAAAAATAAGTAGATAGAATAGAAAAAAATAGAAAGCTAGTGTTTTTTTTTAGAGGCACCCCAGTAGTTAGATGTTGCGACTTGTCTTGGACACCTCACCTCTCCAAGATACCTTGAAGGATCTATCTGAGAGGTAAGACTCAAACCACTGGCATGCGGTTTAATTTTGTTTAATTTGAATAGTCTGTAATATAATCTGTGCCATTTAGCATGCCCACTGCCTCACTGTTCTGTTGTTATTATTAGGCCACAGCCTATATTATTACATATTTTTAACCATGCACAAAACATTTAAAAAATATTACATACAAATATTAAAATTATTTAAATATATTTTTTGTCCTTTTGTTTCATAGGGCCAACATTTGGACACAATCTTGTTATAAAATATGATTGTAGCAGAATGGCTATGACTTGATGGCGAGACTCTTTCAGTGGCGAGCAGTGACTTTTTTAACGGGGTATGCTGAGTGATAGGATTAAGACACCTACCCCCATCAGCTTTTAGGACACACTCAAAGGGGGATCATAGATAACAAATAAGAAACACCATGGCAGGTGTCGATTTAAAAGTATGCACATTTCCTACCTTATCTGTAAATTAAATTCATCTCCAATCTTTTTTCTATCATTTCAGGGTTATCCATTGTTATTTGAATGCTAGAAAAATATAGCTGGTTTTCCAAGTAAAAACTGCCAAATAACGTTTACACATAGTTTCGTTATGATACGTAATATTCAGAGGGTGGGGAGATGGGGGGATTCCCCCGCTCTATATGTCTCTGCATCTGCTTAATGATTTTTTATTCCCAGTGAATAGGAGTTAAAACTCCCACCCAGGTGACATTACTCCAATAACAGACCATGCAAAATACCCAAAATAATAATATCTTTAAAATATTGCCTTGTAACGTTGCAACCTGTCAAACAACAATAAAATCAGAGAAAGACTTTAAGTGAAACGAGCATATGCAGAAAAAAAGGAACAATAACACCTTAATGTTCAAAATGTTCAGAAGATTTATGTTTCTTTCTTTTCCTGATGTTTGTTATTTTAAAAATTTTATATAGCCCACTTTTTTATAAACTTTTTTTTTTAATTTACCAGTTAGTGGACTTTTAAAATTTGCTTTGCTTGAGAAAACATAAAAATATACAGTTACAGCATTTTTTTTCTTTTGATTTAGTTGAGTTGGTTTTGCATCAAACACAATGTGATTTTCAGTAATCGAGATCTGGCAGTAACAGCAAATTGTTCTGCTTGGGCGAGCGCTTCGCGGACAGCTTACCTCGCGCATTAAATCAGACCAGCAAATCACTGAGAATGCACTACAATCCTGACGAGTCACAGCGATAGAGCGGAGACGAGAAAGCTGTGGAGAATCCGCTCGCCCGGAAGCTGCCGCAACTAGTACATTTAAAGAAAATCTCTTGAAGTTAAATTTCAAATGACAAGGGATTCACTTATAATCATGTTTGTATGAATAATTCTGTGAATTTATTATCTTAAATGGCCTGGGTATGCGGAGCAATCGCAGCTTATATGGACGGAACGCCACTGCTTTTTTGAATAAAGAAAATGCTTTATTGTTATTATAAACTAGACAAAAAAAATGTTTAAACGTTATTAACTGGTATTTGTTTTAATTAAACTGGTTACGGAACGTTAATATAGAAGGAACACAGGAACAGAAATGTTAAAATACTGATTCTGCTCAGAGTGAACCGACAGTAACACTGTTTTGTGTTCTTAGTAGTGTTCACCAGACTAAAATTTCAATAATCCTTTGACCTTAATAACACAATATAAACACTACAGTAATGTTTAAATGCCCGTGACAAGCATGTAAAAACCATTAATAACTGAACCATTAGTATTGTATTTCTATTTGAACTGTACACTGTAAAAAACTATTTGTTGAGTCAATTTAAAAAATGTTACCCACTACACTGACTCAGAAAACACTCCTTACTATTTCCCCCCGACACATTCATGGTAATTACTTTTGCTGGGGCTTTGCAGCAAGCCTTATCCTACTGTGTGTGCTTGAAAGTGGAACTCTTCCAGCTGCGCTGAAGGTACGCTGCTGCTGGCGGGACACTAAACACCGTCCGCGCCGAGGTCTTGACAGTCAAGGTCTCGTGTTGTTTCCACCAGCGTGGCAAATCTTTTTCATCACCATAATTGATGGATGTCTAAAACAAAAACAAACAAAAATTGATGGAGAAGCCTAAGACAGGCCCGCGTCTCAGCAACGATGTGAACATTGGCACGAAGTACGAAGTGCCGAGCACCCACCAGTGAAAAAAGAAATCGTGAATAAAACTGTTAGCAACCTCAATTTACATCAGTTTCAAAATGACTAGACCTTGTGAGGATGACTAATTTGACCCCTAATTGGATCTGGTTATTTCAATTAAATAGGTCAATTTATTGAGGGGTTTGTAAAGGCTATTTATTTACATGCCTGGTCAGACGTACCTGCATATAACAGTTCTCTAGTTCTGATTTGTTATCATATTGCTTGATCAGTTTCTTAAATGTGTTATGATACATTTATCATATTCTTTAGTTTCAGGTTTTTCAGGACTATGGAGGAACAGCGTTTTATACGGCGCCCAAATTTTGCACTGAGGTACCAGAGGCATCATACATATCAGTGGTCCAGTCTACAGCTAAGGCGTAAGCCCAGAGCCTCTCCTCCTTCCAGACAGCAGTTCCACAAAGGCCTGAACAAGAATAGCTCCACGGCACATATTGAACCCGGCAGAACAGGTTAGCTGCATTGTGCTATATCTGCATGTTAGCATTTTTGTTGCAAATTTAACAAAATTTTGCAGTGCATGTATGGACTCTTAACTCTTAACACTAGGTGGTAGTGTCAGTTTACACATTAAAATTCTCAATGAGAGGTAGCATTCTGTGTTTTATTTACTGTTGCTTTACAGAATTTCACTTACATTTTACTCAGTAATCATTTAATCAATTAATCTGATAATCTTAGAAATGCTTGAAGAAATAAAATAAAAATCCCAAATTAAATTTGTTCTCAATCTCATCAAAACATGCTGGGTTCTTTTTTTTTTAACCCAAATGCTAGGTTCAGCTTGTTGGGTCAATTTATTGGGTTATTTTTAAATATTTTTACCCAGGTGCTGGGTGGTTTTTCTGTAACTAAGCTGCGGAGTCATTTTTAATGCTGGGTTATTTTTTCTACCCAACCACTGGGTTAAACCTGTCTCCGTCGAAATAACCTAGCTGCTGATTTACAATGAGATCACAGGCTTTTTGAGTCCTCTATAGATTTGGTGCACTTCTTCAGCGAAATAAAGGTTTGTATACATTTTATTTCATTTATAAAGTCTTTGCTGTGCTGTAAATTGTATTATTTTATGCAGCCCAGCATAAAGACAAGATGTCAGTCAGCTGCGTCAGCAGAGGTCGTTTCACATGATGGAAACACCTTTTGCCTGGCACAACATTAGTTTTTATTCATTATAATTTTATTCTATTTTATTCATTATAATACTGAGTTTAATTTAATTTGATGTTAAAATATGTTCTCTAATCTCAGTACTGTTTGTTTATGGGCAGGTTATAGAGTCAGTCACGGCCAGTGGCGTAACTTAGTAATGACGGGCCCTAGTGCAGGCTATTACGACAGGCCCCCTGGGTGCACGGTTATGAAGCACATACAAACACACAGCGCTCATGAAGGGAACCTATATAAGCAAATTTGTGCCTAACCTACTTAATTTAGACCAATTAAAATCAGTATCTTATCTGTTTCTTATATTAAATTGAACAGTTCTCTTTGCGTGCATCTCTCTCCACCACACACGCTGTTGTGACAAGTCAGAAGCGTGTGGATCCATTTGCAGCTTTTATTAGAATAGTCAGACAATACAGGGTCAAATACCGGCAAGGTAGAACAGCAGAGACAAGGCTGAGACAGAGTCGAGTACCAGGCGAGAGATCGGGGCAGGCGGCAAGCAATCAGAGTTCAGGGGAAACAATCCAAGTCGGAGCAGGCAGATAAAAATCAGAGTAATGGGAAACAGTCCAAGAACAGATGCACAGATAATCAAACACGGGTATAACGCTCGGAAATGACAGCCAAGGCAAATCAAGACTTCGCAGAGAGTCTGTGTGTGTGAGTGGTTTATATGTGTGTGTGTGTGTGTGTGTATATGAGGTGCAGGTGTGGATGATTAATCAGTCCCAGGCATAAGGGATGATGGGAATTGGAGTCCGAATGGGAATGACTAATATTCGGGAGACGGTTCCCTCTGGTGGTGCGGAGGAGGCGGTACAGGAGCCTCCTCTGTAACACACACACACACGCAGGAATCACGGCAACCGTATTCCTCTCTGAGAGGCAAGACGCAAGAGAGCACGACCCCACCACTTTTTGCAACATCCCGCGGCATGCACAGATGTACCTAAAAGAAAGAAACATCTCCATTCGATTAGAAATTCGTTAGTCTGTGTTAAATAACAGGCGCTCTATTGCTGAAATGAGTTATGGAGTGTGCTCGTTGCCACTGTTATCAGTTCTCTCTTGGCACTCGTGCACAATGCGCAGTCTTCACACAGACGACTGAGCACTTCATTCTGGTAAAAGCACAAAACAAAATGCACACAAACCTTGCTCTTGATATACAATCACTGATGAACACCGCTTTGGTTTTAATGAGAAAAAAAAAACTATTCGAGGGTGGATTAGAACCTGAAACCTCAGAAATGCTTGACAAAAGTTCTACCACTAGACAATTAAATAGCATAAAAATTAATGACAATTGATATATTTATTCACTGCTGTGAAGGTTATCGGCTTTAATTATATTGTATTATTAAAGGTGACATATCATGAAAGTCTGACTTTTCCAGGTTTTAAGTGCTATAATCAGCATAATGCATCTACCAACCAAGGAAACGTCAAAAAGATTAAGCCAGTAACTTTGTTTTGGGACGCCTTTTTCTGCAAGCGTCTGAAAAAATTAGCAAGTCTGATTTTGCTCCCCTAGTGACGTCACAAAGGGATCTCATTATAATATTACCGCCCCTTAATCTGTAAGTTTCCACCCACGGCACCGTTATTGTGTTTTCGTACCAGTTCTAATGCCATTGCGAAAGTTTGAGCAAAGCATGCTAACAGTTCTGTCTTTGGCTGCACAGACGAGCACAGAACACTGTTTAGAGTCCCAGCCTCAGAGACAACAGAGCAGTGCATTTATTGATTTATTTACTGTATATTGCTGCTGCCATACAGATCTAAAATAAATATGCAATTTATTTCCCAGCTGTTTACCTTCACAGACATAACCAACTTTTTTTGTTTTTGTAACTTGTGTGTTTTTAACGTAAACTTGTGTGTGAAAGAGAACTTCGTTTAGTACTCACATGCTGTGACAGCTGCTTTCTGTGCGTGTGCTTCAGATGTGTGCTCTCAGAAAACCGTATATCAGAAGTTTAAACTCATATGGTTTAAAACGCATGATTTCAGCGCGATAAACATGATAATCAGAACCCAAACAGATGTTTTAGCAGATACGAGCTGTAATGGCGCAGCTCTATTCTGGAAAAGGGGTCGGGGAGCAGCAGCTCATTTGCATTTAAAGAGACAGGCCCGAAAAACAGCCTGTTTGTGCTTCCACTCAAAATAGGCATTTTCAAAAGGATATAATAAATGATCAGTGGGGTATTTTGAGCTGAAACTTTACAGACACATTCTGGGGACACCAGAGACTTGTATTACATATTGTAAAAAAGGGGCATAATATGTCTCCTTTAATATTTCTATTTATATTAATATAGTAACTTCGTCACGAGGAGCCTGTGTGTGCTGCGGGCCCCCACGCCGAACGGGCCCCAGTGTGGCTGCACTACCTGTAGTTACGCCACTGGTCATGACATCTTTCAGCTACGAGAGAAATGCGAGGCGGCGGTCTGAAGTTTGCAGTTCCCCCACGAACAGCAGCCCTTCACCGGCTCAGATTTCATCGACACACCGTCACGAGAATAAGCACTATTTCGGTAATAATTGATTACAGAGAACGGTTAAATACACTTAAATTAAAATGCTACTTTTGAATGTTACATTTTTATGTCTAAAATGCTTATTAAATGAGTTTAAATGTATGTAATATTGTAAACTATGCTGTATTCACCCAAATAAATTAAATTGTGTTCAAATGTGTTCTTACTTAATAATAAATGTTCATCTTTTGGTTATTGCTGTTGCCTCTTGTAATTGTTTTTTTTTTTTTCATTTCCAGTCCATTTTAAGCCAGCAATATAATAATTTTTTAAACAATAGTTGACTTAAATAAAATAACCCAGCTTGTTAGGTAAAAACATTGAACCCAACCAGCTGGGTCAAAATAACCCAGCATGTGTTCTGTCCAATATTTACCCAGCGCTGGGTTGCCAAATAATAATTTGATAGTGATAGCTGATAATAGCTGATAAAGAATCCAGGGGAAACGCTAGTCTGTGAATATATATATACTGTATATATATTCACAGACTAGTGGGTACGGAAAGTATTCAGACCCCATTACATTTTTCACTCATTGTTATTGTTACAACAAATCTGCAAAAAAAATATGTTACAAAAACGCATATATAGCATATAAATGTTTTCCAGTTTTGTTCTGCTGCATTAAAAGATCAGATTTAAATTACAATTCTACAATTAAAATTCAGGAATTAATGTGCATGCAGATGTGCATGTCTGTTTTCTTTTTTCTTAGTTGGCTAAAAATCAGATGTGGCAGGTTGAGAAGATTTTCCTCCCCCTCCATCTCATGCTTATGTGCTTGGTGACTCACTGCTTGTGTACGTGTTGCATAAAGTGAGATATAATGAGAGAAAATGTGTGTGTCTATGTGTGTGAGTGGCAGAGAGCTGAAGGTATTCTTGTATGTATGTGAAAGTAGAGAGAGAAAGAGAGGGAGAGAGATTGGTCATATTTATATGGATTTAAGCATTCAGGCCCACCATCAGAAAATAAAACAACCCATGTTGTGAGGCAGATTTTCCAAATGACACTACACAGATTTTCTTACAGAAACCTATCTCTCTTTTTTCTCCTCTTTTCACCTTGCCTTTATTTTTTTTATAGACATTTCTCGGCCATCCTCTGGAAAAAGATCATCATTGCCATCTACAGTAAGAGACCAGAAACTCCTTGCTTTGTATCATTATGATGATTCTCAAATGAATGTTTTTGGGTCAATACAAGTTGAACTCTTTATTAACAAAATATGTGATATATGTGTGTGTGTTGAATATGATTGACTGAGCAGAATGCCAAAAGGGCTGATGCTTAGTCTAATAGCACTAGGAAATTGTTTTTATCACGTTGCTTCTCTGTGTTTGCATGTTCCACACTGTAACATAGAAGTAGCTTACGACTAGAGTGTGATACATTTGCAGCATTGAGTTTATTGGGTGAAAGCAAAAACGGCATCATAATACACAACCCTCTACTACGCACACCTTGGCAATATAATCGCCATTGGCTAGTAATTTTTTTTGTTTACTCGCCATTGATATACTACTTTACACACACACACGCGTTTACTTAGCTATCTAAATGGGGACATTACATAGACTTCGATTGTTTTTATATACAGATAGTTATACACTTTTTAACCTCAAACGCTCAGTCAGCGTGTTTATCGAGTGCAAATCTGTGTTGAACGCCTCTCACACACATACTGGCATGTAAAATCTAAGAATTTATTAGCCAATGGCTAATGTTAGATATTATTTAGTCGCCCAGAGTAAGATTTAGTCGCATATGCGAGTGATTTACTCGCAATGTAGAGGGTTGATACAGGCAAAGATTGACAGTAGGAACACTGTAACGTATACAGGGACGAGACAGAGCAAGCACAGTTTAATTTGAAACACCAACACAGATAATCCAAACTTGAAACAACTGTGGACAAACCACAGACAGGAACCAGGACAACAATCAGAAGACAAAACACATACAGTAAACAAGAACTGACAAAACACAACTGAAACACAGGGGTATATATACACATAGGTTAACCAGGAATGATGAGGTGTAGGTGATAAGTTGGCATGGTAAATAATAAGGGTTGCTATGGTAACAAACAAGGCAGCAAGGCAAACGGGGACAGGAACTGAACAAAGGAAGTGAAGAGGGAAACAATAGGAACAGAAACACATTACATAACATGAGTCTTAAAATGCAAAAAAAAGAGGGACAAATACAAATATTCATTCAATAATCAAAAATGTAAATCAATAAATATTTCACTCAACCCATTCATTCATAAACACTGATTCATGCTGGGTTGAAAGACTTATTCTGAGAATCGCAAAGGATGACTTTGCTGTGGCTTTGGAACTGTTTTCATTTGCAAATAGACACAGTAACTAGCAATATGGTTTCCAAAATGTAAGGTACTCAATATTAACTTTATTGAAGCAATGTTTTCAAGACAATATCATACATAGAACTGTGCTATTGTTCTGGATATCAGCACAGCTGTGATTATGGCCAAATAACAGTCATGCTAATATTCAAAAGAACAGAACTCTAGCCTGTGTAATATTGTTTAAAGATATAGGCTTTAAAAGCTGCTTACCTTACTCTTGTGGCAATTTGTTCTGCATTCCTTCACAACCCAGCTCCACTATTATGTAAATATTATTTACTTGTTTGAGGAAGCCAGCATAATAATAATTTGCAACAGACCTTCAGCCTTTTATGACTTAGTGAGTTATATAATTTCAACTTGATCAGGCTTATGATTTTCTTAAAGAAGACAATTAAAAACTCTAGCAATCTACTAAAATATACTATCTAAATTCTAGCAATGTGCTAAAACATGCTAGCAACATTAGCAGTTTAGACATGCTAGCAGCGCGACATCCTAGCAACAAATTAAATTATACTATCAATATGTTAAAATATGCTAGTAATGTGCTAAAAATATCAGTGTACAACCAAAATGACTACTACAGCCACAGGGCCACGGCGTTAACTGCAAGTCAGTCGCGTGTTAAAGTCGTTCACAAAACTACCGCTAGGTAGCGCAAAGAGACAGTTTGCAAACTGACTGGAATTATATTTTATTTTGTAAACAGAGATCAAATAACAAAATAAAACAACAATAACATTATAATATCCTAAAATCATTTGCAAATTTACAGTGAGGGTTAATTTAAATCTAACGCATCAAAAATAAAAATAATTAAATTTACACAGATGCTCTTACTGCATGTTATGGTTATGAAACATTATGAAAAACGGTCATTATGAAAACCATTAAAACTACACAATTTCCTTATGTTGTATTAAGGGGCTTTCATTTCAATCAGGCTAATGGAATTTTTTGAACGAAAAATCCTGACCTTGGCCGTTGGTCCCCTGTACAAGGCTGCACGTTCATGAGGCTCTATTCGCGTCGCAATTTACTTTGACTCACACCAAAAAAAACAACAACCTTGAACAAAATAAGTTGTGAGAAATCAAGATTAATAGGCTAAAACTGCGACATGGAAAACGCCTAGAAATCCTAACAAAATTAGGATATGAACTTGGAATGTTTAGATTACATTTAAAGAGGTGTGCATTATGCCATAAAAAATCAAATGATTGAAAAGTTGGCTTATAGTTGAGTGTTATAGGCTAGGCCTAGTTCTAACACATATTTTGGCACTATAGTCACATTAATGTCACAAATTATGAAAGGCTTGAAACTTACATTTAATAATTCGCTGATGCATTTCAGCAGGTCACACATACTTATTCGTTATCTGTCCTTTTTTAACATTTATTCCCGTATACAGAGCCCATGAGACGCAGAAAATGATGTCCATGAATTAAGAAATTGATAATTTTTATCGTTAGATAAATCTTATCGTTAGTATTAATTAAAATGTGTTTAAATAATAATTAAACATTTTAAAAAATAATAATAATAATACTGATAGTAATATGGTACAGAGTTTGGGCATGCAGGAGATTGGGGGAGTCCGTAAAATGTAAAAAATTAAAAATGAATTTGACAACACAATACAACTTAAGAATTTTGTCATTTAATTAGAAAACAACCCCTGATTCACAACATTCATTTCTAAATGCAGAAATCAGGTAGGGCCCTGCACGGGCCTCAAACCTAGGCCCTAGCCGGCCCTTGGCCAGTATTCTCGGTGCGAGTCCGACTGGAGCCCGTGCCTTTTTTCCTCTCTCTCTCATTTCCTAATTACTCAGCTGCAGTTGCAGCCATTAAAATAGTTCAGTTTTGTGTTTAATTGCAAAGTTATATTTCTTATATTTATAATTCATTATTAATTAATTTAGAAAAAGTTTGGAACAATTTTTTGTTTGTTAAATTGAAGTTTTTTTTTTGTGACGACCAAGCGGATAGCGGCAGACAGCTGAGTTGATCACGTTTGATCAATTTAGCCTTCTCAAATCATCACAACTTGCTTAAAATAAAATATATAGATATAATTCACATAAAGCATATTACAATGTTAGTTTAAACATTTAACCTAGATAAAAGTGAGAAGTGAAAAGATTAGGAGTATATCTAAGCGTTTGTGCGGCGAGTGGAAGCTGAAGCGTTCTTAATGCATGGAGGCGCCAGTGTGATCACTTCATTTTGTTCTTCATATCAGTGGAAACAACTTGAAGTACGCCGTCATTTCTGTAGCCTATTTAAAACACGTTCATAATTTAGAAAATGTAGTTAATACTTGCATCATTAATGATTTATTTTACCCACCAGCAAATAATCAGAATGCATTTTTTAATTACCCGACCCACCCGATCCGCGGATATTACCGCCATCCGCGCATCACTAGTGCACTCACAATATCAACAAAACGTTGTTCTTTTGTAAAATAGAGAAAACAAACAGGATGCGCTTGGATTGCCATCTCGGTCTGCGTGAACAGGGACCCGTTGAGCTTGGGCTGAAATGCAAAGCTCTAAAATCAGGTGCAGTTTAGCTTTGCAGTGTCCAAAACTGATGGTTTATATTCACAATAAGCTAGAGAATACATCGAATACTGAACCCATGAAGGGCTAATAATGATTGTAAGACGTTAATGTATGATCGCGCTTTGGTTCATATTTAAGAAATGACTTAAAAAAGCTGTTTTTGTTAGGGCTGCAGGATTAATCGAATGCGATTGTCATGCGCATCTTAATTGTAAAGCTGGTTCTGTAATCAGTAGTAAACCTCCATCACGTGCTTTCGGATGGAGCAGCATTTACTACACAGAGCCATAGTTCACTGACAAGCTACACAATATCGTGTTCATTGTCACAGATGATTTAATCGTGTGCGATTATGAAATCGAAGAAATTGTTCTGCGATAATGACAGCTGTTTGCGTAGCTTCTCAGTGAACTACGGCTCTGTGTAGTAAATGCTGCTCCATCTGAAAGCACGTGAAAATATCACATTTAATAACATGTTTTTACTCCAAACTCACTTCATAACATCAGTCGAGTGTTTGAAGTAAATCCTTTTGTGAGATGATGTGGCTTCTTACACAGAATAAGGCACACAATATATTCCATAGTATTCTAAGCAGTGATAAAGACAATGTCGATTAGCATTGCATTATAGATATACTTTATTATAATAAAAATTATAATAAGACAAAATTAGATAAACCATATATTGTCGTAGTCGTGTGTTTATTAGTCACCCTGAATCAATGAAAGCAGTTAAATCTTCTGTTTATTCAGCTACTGCTATAGGGATTTCCTGATTTCTTCTGCGGGGCGTATTTGAAATTTCTGCGCGAGAGTGCCCTCTGGCCTTCGGATGGAGATTTACTGCTGATCACAGAACCGTGCTTCACTGAAAGATACGCATGACAATCGCAGATTCTTCCTAATCGCGATTTATCTATCACCTTTGTGATTTCATTTCGATTTAATTTTGATTAATCGTGCAGCCCTAATTTTTGTTCCATTAATCATTTTTATGTGAGGTTGAAAAATAAACTCTGCTATTATCATCAGTGCCATTTGACAGTTTTGCTGTAGGCTATTCATCAAAATCAGCATCAAAAAGCAGCATGCTCACTGGCAGTTAAGTTCATTATGAAAAATATACATACCTGTATATATATTAGGCCTATATAAGATCAGCATTTGAACACCATAAG